CGACCCGCAGATTGCAAGTCGAGCGCCCTAACCACCTGGCCATGCCGGGCCAGTTAAAGAACTGAACAATGATACAGTATTTTATGGAGTGATGACTAAGCTAAGTAATTATGGGTGATTCGTTATAAAACATGACTAGCAGAAATGATAAAATGTAGTCTGTCTATCGCAAATAAATGTGGAAACACCGAAGAAAAAAAGAATATGTTAAAGTAAACATCCGGGAACCTTTGAAATCGCGTTATTTAATACGTACTAATTATCAATTAAACTGCATGATAGGAAAGAAAAAACGTTATAGAGTGGAAGGCCACAATATTAATCTGGTGTGAGTTAAGCCTAAATATATGAAAAATCTAAAACTTTCCATCCACTCAACTACGGCTTAAACATTAGCAGATTGAGCAATTTCTTGGGGCTCAGAGCAGCTGAAGAATACCCCGATTCCTGGGGGTTTATTATTATTATTTGAATCTAAACTTTCGGTTTTGCCTCTTTTAGTATTTGCTCGTTTAAAAATAAAGTTTGCGATGAATGCGATCCAGAAACCTCACTCAGTAACTAGAGGACGTTTAAAAATTGCAGCAGTAAGACGCTGTTCTGTCAAGCACACGTGCGGTGTCCATGGGCTGCTTGGTTGTTATGTGCATTACACGCACAGTACAGTATATCCTCTTAGTGCTGTTAGTGTTTGAGTAGATTTAATTTTTTAAAATGCGTATTAGTATGTGCTGTGCGGTCATTAACTAGAGTATATGGTTCCAGCTTAGTCTCCGTCACTTGAGAAAGATATTATTTTACAAAAGTTACAGTGACATATCTCTCGATTTTTCATACGCTGACAGATTAACCTGGCTATATTTGCTGCCACAAGGTATGAGTGAGATGGAATGTACATTTTAACAGCATATAGAAAACTTAACCAACTTGACAGATTTAATCCAGATTACTTCTTTGTTTTGTCGAAAATTAACAAAACCAGAGGTAATAACTACAATGTTTTCAAAGAGCACAACCGAATTTCTCTTCGTTTAAATTCCCTTTTTACAGGGAAAAACTCAAAACTGGAACGCCTTCATTGACGCTACTGTATCCATCATCTTTTAACCGATTTAAACTATCCATAGAATACAAATATAAACAATTAAAATCAATACCAATGTCATTTTATGATGACTGTACCGCACATGCAACACAAACAGTTAACTTTTGCTTAAATCTAAAAAGATTCTGAGAAGCTTACGACAAGACTACGTATCTAGGTAACCAATATGTAATTCTCCTGCATATAAGCTTTTATTTAACTTTGATCATATAAACTGTTAATCTATACGTAATTATTTAATTATAAATAGAATTATTGGGCGTAAATGTTAACATAAATCGAAGTCGTCCTAAGAAACTTCAAATGCAAGCAGTGGCTTTACGAGTAGAATTCGAAGAAGAAAAATCATTATTGTTTTAAAATATATGTGATAATAATATAGTGTTGCGTCAGCGAGTCACATGACCACTGTGGCGCCCACTAGTTTCTAGAACTATCTTGTTCTTTCAGGAATGCTCTAGTA